TGTCAGTTAGATGTTACCAGTTCAGGAGTCAACATCTGATTAATGTATATTATTTTTGCTACATATTGCCAGCAACCGCAAGATCTCTGATTGGGCCTTTTATAACTTGTATAATGAAAGGTTGTACACTTTTTTAGAAACGCAACTGCATAGGTTATGCGATTTCTCGACATAATGATGTATTATAACAAACAAAAATAGATAAATTGTTGAAATATCTAAATGACACGAACAGGTAGTCCAGATGACCAGACAGGCCGCCAGTTTAAAACCGATGGAAGTAATGATAAAAATTGCGATGAATTATAATAGCTTAAGCATTTTTATCGTTCACTAACAACTACTACATTAAAAGTTTTTATTGTCATTGTTGAATAGATCATTTAGTAAAGCGGTTAGTTTCAATCGACTGTAATAAGCATAAATCGATAAAAAATTAAAATAAAAAAATCATCAGGATTGTAATTGAATTAAGTAGTATCTAGATCCTAACTGAAGTGACAATTCCGATCTCTTTTTCTAACCGTCTGTTATCATTATATTCTTGTCAATAATATAATCTGTTAATAAGAGCGATTTCAGTTAATTTCAAACCACATAGATAAAACAAATTATTGGGGTATCCATAAAATATTAAAAGCAGAATACTAGTTAGGGAAAGATACCTATTGCACTGTCGTTCAAGGTTCAGGAGTTCATTAAAATAGCGGAGTAACAAGATGGATATCCTACTGAAAAATAATTGGAACAACTTATGATTGGTAAGGGTTAATCATGTTCAGAGCTGTTGTCTTGTAGACCCACTGACCCATGTCATGTGTCTAATCACAAATCGGAATCCTGATTCTAATTTGGTCTCCTATTTACTTTATAACTAAGTCTCTCTGATTTGACCAATCACAGGGCTGACAACCACTATGGGCTTTGAGCAGTCACCTAGGTTTCTATTGGTTCACCGTTCGCTAGCATCTCCCTATGGCCTACCTTGAGTCCAGGAGTAGCAGAGAGCCTCCTTCTACATTTCAAACAGACGTTATTTGTATACAGACATACCAGACAATGACACAAAATGAAGAATAACAATAATAAATGAACAAGCCAAAAAAAGGCTGTGAAAGGGGAGGCTGTAGGTAACAGATTGGTAACAAAACAGTAACGGTAAGTCGTACAACCATAGTTAATTAGTATACCGAAAGCTAGTGACAAACAAGATACATATACATTGTAACCTAATTACTCAGTAATTATACAACGAAATCGTAATTAATAATAATTTTAAAAAAACTAGTTCCAACTTTTACAATATCTGTCCCCTTATAACAAGAGTAAAATAGATATTACCAATGATGATACTGAATGATCATTACACAATATCATATGTATGTAAGTAATTGTTATTATTAGTTTTTGCCCTATGATATTCAAAATTGACGGTTCAATCTACATTTTTTGTAAATGTCGTTTCTAGCAATGGTTTAACTGGTTTACTTACAATCAGAAAAATATACCCTTCAGATATTTTCAACATCCCTCCTCATTTTCCAGACTACACAACACAGTTTTATAAGGATTATATAACTGGTTGATATCAATGGTTTAGGTATTCAATGTGTTAGGCATTTTAGACCGGTATAGTGCCAGTACAATTTGGGCAATTGGATACTGCTAGTCACACACAGACGAAAAGCGCGATAAATATATATATATATACTAACTTTGGTGTGGCTTTAAATACAAAATATGAACTGAGACACCTTAACTACAGTACAGATTAATTGTGCAATTATCATTAATCTTGACTAGTTCGTTCCATATACATTTCAATATAGGCTAATATTACTTATTATGGACCAAGTAAACGGAAAAAGTCACTATTGTAACCACTTTTACACAAGAAATTAATGGAGTGGAGGGCTTAGTTAATCAGTTGTTTCCAGCGTAAAGTATGGTGTAAATGTGTACCAGTTCAAGCTGGTATACTACACTTGCACAGAGTGGTGATATAACATGATGATTAGGAAATAATTCGAAATAACAAGGGTATCAACGATGATAAAAAAAATTAAATTTAGAAGATTTGTTTCGAAAAGAAGCAATGAACTTGTGCGATAAAATATATTAAATAACAGTGAAGCTAATGTAACCGATTCTGAACTATATCAGCAAACGTCTTCAACCAGTGATTATCCAGCGCAACCCAACCAGGTAACCTGAATTTGCAAATATGGCTCACACCAACAGTTATCGACTTCAGAGTCTGATGGCACATCTTAGTTTAGGTGCTCCTACACTTCTTCAATTATATTCATTGTCTGGTTTGTCCTGATCGAGAAGTGACTGAATGATTAAGACGATTAACTTTCAACTACAGGATTCCCGATTCAAACCTAAAGCTAATTACTCATGTCCAGCCCGCCCATTAACATATTAGGGTCCTACAAAATTACGTGGCTTAAGATCGATAATATATATCTATACTTAGTTACTGAGATATATTAATTAAAACGGATTCCTATGAATTATTTCTGAGAACTTCATTTCTTAAAAAAATACATTACAAATTCATTTTAATTTGTCACACTTCTTCATACAGTTTGCCCTTAGAGTCAAGTCTCAAAATTTGATTTAACTACCATAAAGCTTTTGTACACTTCACTTAAACATTATTATCTTTAGAGGAATACAGCATATAACCATAAGAAACAAATTTTTGACGTTCAATATCTCGAATCTATTCATTGTCAGACTGCCAATCACTACAGTGGCTGCTGTTCTGACTTGAAACTTGTATGTTGTTATGACCCAGTAGAGATAGATTGACTGGAATACTAGTTACCGTAGGTCTTAGTACATTAGGCAGGTCGGATGATGAGCGGTAATATCAAAAACTAATTCATCCTGACAATTATGCGATGTGATGACAGAAAACCGACAATTGCAGCCGTGTAGCCTCTCTGCAACGGAGGGAGGAGTTAGAAAAGGTCAGCCCTAAGATAACACCCAGAAGGCAGTAGGACTGAAAATTACGAAGACAGCATGTCAAAAACTGTTAACAAAGACGTCGTATATGAAGAGCATCTGCTGAAGTCTGTGATCACTCCCACACGTCGTCAAAACCACACCCAAACCAGTTCCCTTTTCAGATACTTCAGGGGGGAATATCTTTCCACAGTATAGGGAATCAGGATGTGACAACTAACTTCATATCTAACACATAACCAATAACAATAAGCATGTTCGTTACATATATATATATATATATATATATATATATATATATAACAAGATATTTATGATAGTAAGCGTAGTAGGAACTCAGCGTTTACCTTCAGAATTTACAAATTACTATCATCTTATTAACTGTAACATGCGAAATTCAGCTTCTTCAAATCTTAACATTGTTTAATTCTGTTCCATTTCATGTTTTTTTACCATTCATTGTTTCTTATATCAAGGTACTAATCTATCATTATCTACATCTTAGTTTATTCATTATCATTTACTTCTTTTACAATCATCGTTTGGTCTTTTTTGCCATATAATAGTTTTCGTATTTCTTTTAACCCTCCTTAAATGGAGAACTTTTGTGCTACTGATTCTACTAAAAATAAGTTTATTTCAGTCACTTATAATCAACTTACAGCATGACATGCATATATATCATTGACTCAAGTTTCTATGTTACATCGGTACAACAAGATGAAGTGAATGAGATAAATAGGAAAAGAATTGAAATAATTTAGTAGCAATTGTAGTGAGGAGAACCAAGTGTTGAAAATATGATTTAGAAAAAGAAGTTGAAGGGTATTTGTGTAAGGATACCGGAACTTAAAGTTTAGAGAAAGGTCAACATTTAATATATCTTCGTTATGGTCGATTGTGAGCCTGAGGTAATTACATGGATCTTAACTATGTATTTACGCGAACTCTTCTTTCACGCTTGTTCACAATTACTCTACATATTTAGCTTTAGGTCATACTTTTTGAATATGAGTTCTAGTATCATTATCATTGTTATTATCTAATTGCCCATAATAAAATAAACAGCAAGATTCGAACCTACAGTCTACCTGTTCAAAGCTGTATTATATTTTATCCTTTGTTGTTTTACTATAATCCTTTCAGTGTTTTTCTTTTATTAACACCAAATACACCACCGAGTAATCAATCAATTGTGATTACATCTCAATCCTATAGGAGGTCGATCGAGGTCCAATTAACTCAATGGTTACGTCTCTAACTGTGAATCTGAGTGACACGGGATCGAATCCGTCAGGGAGTACCAGTTCCCTTAACATGACGAGTGTCAAGTAGCACGAAACCTGGGTTCAGGAATTCCTGTCGACCCCAAAATGCCCTGGTACGGCCGAGAGTGGGGAGAGTCAGCTCTCCCTCTCAAAATGCTCTCACATGGCCACGCATATATAGCCTCTGTTAAGGACGTCCTACTCACTGCCTTCTCCCACCACGGGTGTTGTTTACAAAATTGAGAGGATGAAAAGCGAATGTCCGGTGCTTTAACCGGGTTGGTGGACACGGAGAGTTCACCTAGGGGAGTTGGAAAACCCTGATCCCAAACCAATGGTGCACATGGGCTCCAGTGTCGTGAAGGAACAAATGGAGTATGAACCAATCGTTGGTCACCGGCTACCATGTTAATGTAGCTCCTTACCTATCTCTACTGTCTTGTGGATCAGACCTTCATGTCGAAGGCTCGGGGTGTGGCTTCCTTAGAAAACCACCTGGTTCGGTTTGAGAACCCGGGCAGTATCGCAGCTCTCACATATATCAAGTGAGGTCTGTGTGGCGCATATGTATCTGGTGCCTCCTTGTACCAATATCTATGTATTAAAATAAATAATAAAATACCATCTTATCACAATTGTTCTATGCATATTGGATTTATTTTTTTTACGTCATTATTACATAATCATATAATATTATATTACATATGAATAGTATTATATTAAATATTATTAGAATCTTAATAAATTACTTACCATTATTTAAAAATGTATGATCAGTTTCATTCATTTGAACAATAGGATAATTTTTATTAACATTCAATGTTTGTTTATTTAATTCATCCTGTTCATAATGAGTTGATAAAATATCATCTATATTAAATGTAGGTGATATATTACATGATGATAATTTAATTGATTCTTTTGTTAATGATGGTATATTCACTGATATACATAAATTAGATGATTTAGATGAATCTAAAGTAATTAATGATAATGATTCTGTAGAAGTTAATGGCATATAGAGACAAAGAGAGAGAGAGAGAAAGAGAGGGGTTGAGAGAAAGATATGAGACCAAATCAAAATGTATTATATTATTTAATTTTTTAATAAAATGTAATCATCCAATTAAGATAATACTATTCCAAATAAAACATATCCCATATTACAATAAGTAAATGATGTAAGATTAAATACAATTAAATGATTGTAACTGTCACTTAAGCGAATATATTGAATTTAACCTATCATTAATTGAATAATAGTGGATAGACAGTTAAGACTGTTTATTTGTATTTGGATAGGTTAAATCCACCTACTAGTTGTGAATAAATTAAACCAATAGATTCGCAACTAATCTTAAATTTATAAACAGGTTTAAGTTTTATTAAAAGTTATTGCATAAGATTTAAAATTTATCTTTTATACTTTCATAGATTGATTCTAATGAAGAAACATGAATTCAGCAGTTTAAAAAGGGAGTTACCAAATCAATTAACGGCACTATTCTTTTACACTTGGTAGATAGTGAACATCATATTAAAATAGAGGAAGCTTTCTCTGTTTTATATCAAGTTCCAAAATATCTACCTCACGGAGCTAGATTACGACTGCTTTACATAGCCGAAGCCATCTGGATTAACTTCAGAAGACCAAATTTATGTATCCAGAAAAAATATATCCAGCCTCTTTGTTTACCTTGGCCTAAGACTGGATCACCGGATACCTAAACTGAATATTATAAACATCTTACCCCCTTTTTTTGACTACCTATATTTTAATCTTCACACATTCTTTGATAACACCCCCCTTATTACATGTTATATTCACACAACAATCTTATTATTATTATCTCAACTGACAAGATGAAATTCTCCTACTATGTATTTTATTCACACGATTTTCATTTATTTTCATTTTTGCTATATTACTGCTATACTGATTGTGATTGAATACTTTACTCCAAATCATTCTGAACTTCATTAAATGACCTATCTAATTTGCAAATAACACAATTTTGAAGTATATATATATCGTAACAGATGCAAACGTTCACCATTTATTATAACATATAACATTGTCAAATTCATTAATACATGCATTATTTCGGCCTTTGTAAAAATATCACAATCATTATGGACTTATAACTATAGAGCCTGAAGATGAAGTTATTGAAAATAATTGTTCGCTCAAATATTATTCACTTTTAAACATGAATTCACTTTGTAAAGTTTAAATTAATTAGACAAGTATCAAATGATATCGACCTTTTTTTGCGAATACTTTCTCGTAATGATATTGTAAGCTGGTATTCTTTCCCCTCTCACTCTCACTGTTCGACATGCAATTGATTTAACTAATCAACACAGAGTAACTAAGTCTAGATTATTTGATAACACATAAAATCAATTAAATCGTTAGCTATGCGTAAAACAATTTTTCATACTGGTTTACTACTTATGTACTATACAATACATCGTATTAATTCATCTGAAGTTCAAAATAATGGATAAGATTAGGAAGTAGTGTTTAGCATTTCTAGTAAAATATTCTTGATAAATTGTTAATATAGCTAGACTTATTTTGCTCCTACAATTGTTCATCAAGAGTATATATCAGATACCTAAATTACTCCCCCCCCAGTTTTCTAAATACATATTTCATTTCACAGGTTGAAATCATGAGTCGATTGAAGCTAGACCACCATGGAAAACCTAGAAGCATGGACGGCCGTTTCGTCCTGGGTTCGAGCCCCGCGTGGTGCGGGATCGTGGATGCGCACTGCTGAGGAGTCCCATACTAGGACGAAACGGCCGTCCATGCTTCTAGGTTTTCCATGGTGGTCTAGCTTCAATCGACTCATGATTTCAACCTGTGAAATTTCTAAAACTCTCCACTAAACCCATTCTGACATATTTCATTCTTTTTGTTTGGTTGCTAAGTCAATTTAGTCATTTTACTGTAAAATCATACTGTAGCCTGTTGTTTCTTTGTCACTTAACTTTCTTATCAATACACTTCAAAGTAACGAAAATAAAACTATATTTTATTAAAATACATAAAAACCTAGTAAGCTGTTTTTGGAAGCATTTTTCTACTTGTATGTTTTATATGATGGCGTTCAAATATTTTCTTTTAGATCATCTGATGTAGATGTTACGATGAATCAAAGTAATTAATTTCCAACTTCAATCAGTTCTTAATATAACATGACAGTCAACCTATTTCATCAATACGTAACTGAAATAATTGAACTCAATTGACCATGGCTTTCACTATAACTTTGGGAATACATCTTAAAGTCAGTCACTAGTGAAGAAATGATTTTTTTTTAAAGTGTTCGTAGAAAACTAATTCATTTTATAGGCAGCTTTCTTCAAGAAATGACTATTAAATATAAATATTCAGATGCTGGGCAACATTGATACAACTCAACAGCCTTAAAACATCACATTCAAATACAGTTAGAACCAGATGAATTATAGAATATGGCATATATAGATCCAAATTTGTCAAAATGTGTTCTTTATAATAAATTATAGTAATAAAACTCATTACAAAACCTTACCGTTAAATTCACTCAGAGTTTGGACAGACATGACTGAACTCTACTGGTCACTGCTTCTCACTAGAACTCCAAGAAATTCATTTTGAAGCAATTTACTAGTGAGCACATAGTGATTATCAGTATAAGGTTATGGAGATTGGTAAGTTAGTTAACAGGTTTATTGAAAAGTTCTTACAATGGTGACATGGTATTTGAATATTTTAAAAATAATTGCTAAGTTTGTCTTTATTTTTACAAGACAAGGTATATGAAAGTTATTATACTTCCAACTCTCCCACCAAAAAACAAATTTTTATGTTTTGGGATAAACTAAACAAGAAAAATCAACCATCTAGTATCTAACTTATAGCATAATCATGATAATGATAATAATGCAAAACTGGTCGTTGCATAAAGATTCAGTATTTTGATTGACTGGTTGCTCCAGTAGAAGACAAAACGAACGATCACAAGTTCTATACAATTTTGCTTGATAACTGCTGTGATTATATAAGTGGACAATGAAAAACAATGCACAGTGATTTGTAGATTATAATAGTTCCACAACTTTGATACTTTTCCATACAAAATTGAAAAAAATATATTCATCATTGATTATTCATTGAAAACTTTTGAGGACCAGAACTGTGATTTATTCATAGATGTCTATCCTTCATCAATTCCTCTTTAAGATCATAAGCTCACTAGTGACTTGATTCGAGTTGACTTCCTAAAATTCCATTAGCGAGTCATTACATATAGAGTTCATCCAGACTATTACTTTAGTAATCAACACTGATTGTATTCAATGGTCGTCATATTATTATCGCGAACTAACTGAGCCTGGAAATGTGGATGGATGTTAACCCGACAGCATAATGTTTAAATGCTCGTCAAGGGTTGGTAATGAAGCACTACTTAAGTTAAATGTTTTTGATTGTATTTTCTTACCTCTTCTTAACTGAAAAAAAATGTATTAGTAAATTGTTGAAAGTGTTTTAAGCAGTTCCAACTCCAACAGTGACTTACTACTTTACATATTAAGTATCTTTATCGTTTTTGATCTGTATAGGATGAAACGGCCGTCCAATGCTTCCAGGTTCTCAATGGTGATCTAACATCAGTCACTACACAATCTCAATCAGAAATTTAACAATCACCACACCCCTATACTGATAATCTGTATAGTTTGTTCATAAAATTTGAAAACATTGAAGAAGTGATTTCTATATAAGTTGAATAATTTACAAAATTTAGGTTGTAGTAAAAGTCGGTGATATTATATCATTAGAATCATTCATAAGTATATACACAAACTTTTCGATGATTTATATAGTCAGAAAAGGTTTTGTGGAGATTTCAGAAATTTCAATAGTTGGAATCATGAGTCAATTGAGGCTAGATCAACGTGGAAAACCTGGAAGCACTGGACGGCTGTTTCGACCGATAGGTCCCGGGTTCGAATCTCGCGGGGGGCGGGATCGTATACGCACACTGCTGAGTAGTCCCATACTTGGACGAAACGGCCGTCCAGTGCTTCCAGGTTTTCCATGGTGGTCTAGCTTCAATTGACTCATGATTTCAACTATTGAAATTTATGTAGTCCTTAAATCATCGAATTCAACCTATATGGATGATATTTTTTTACTCCAATTAACTTGTTATTACGTAACATAATAAAGAATATTAAATTACATATACATTTTACTTAATTGAACTTCACTCTTTAACAACACACTGTATGTATCTGGGTTTTTTTTGAGATTTTATTCTTAAAAACAACATCGACAATTAAGTGATTTTGATTGTAATACAATGTCAAAAACGACAACAAGAACAACAACAACGTAGCAATCAATAATTTTTTGCCTACTTCTCAAGCTCCTACTGTCTAGTTGTGGTCAATTGTGGACAAAAATGAGTCGTGATTGGTTTCTATTTATTTCAATAATATGCAGATGAATATCGATACACCAGTAGACAATATATTTTGTAGATAAATAATACATTATAATTAGTATGATTTTTGTCATGAAATTCTTTTTTGTTGTCGTTCTTGATAATTCTAAGTCAGTGAAATTCACTTGGTGTTGTTTTACTTGTGTCTCCCCATTGTTATATAGAACTGCAATTGATCAATCTCTTGTTGGTATATGTGGATCCTGTGTGGATTGTCTCGATATAGCCTTAGGTCACAAGCTTTTTAAGGAAAGGTGGATAGTGGCTAGCAGTGGAACCCAGGTTGACGCATGTTTCATTCTATTTTGGACTCTTCAGCTGGATGTAATTGCATCCCAGAGTTGATTTCTATTCCATGTACATTCAGCTAACGAGTCCCAAATAGGACGAAACGCGTGCCCTGGTATCCACTGCTAGCCATTATCCATCTTTTCTAAGTCGGTTAGTTTATTTACTTATGCTTCGAGAACTGTTAACCGTTAACCATTAATTAAAATTTTAAAAGAGTGTTTTGTTGTTTTATTTTGGGGCTCTAGTTGTCAAATAGTTTTGAACACGTCTATTGATTTACAGTCAAATAACTTTTTTTCATTCGAATACCTTTAATGATTTATCAACAAGCTGATCGTGTTATGATTGGGTTGCTTTTTTATGGTTGCAAAAT